TGGAGAAGAGAAGACTGAGAGGCGATCTCATCAGTGTGTACAAGTATCTGAAGGGAGGGTGTCGAGAGGATGGGGCCAGTCTCTTCTCCGTAGTACCCAGTGACAGGACAAGAGGCAACGGGCACAAACTGAAGCACAGGAAGTTCCACCTAAACCTGAGAAAAAACTTCTCGACTGTGAGGGTGAGTGAGTGTTGGCACAGGTTGCCCAGAGAGGGAGTGGAGTCTCCTTCGCTGGAGATATTCAAAAGCTGCCTGGACGGGATCCTGGGTAATGTGCTCTAGAGGACCCTGCTTGAGCAGGGAGGTTGGACTAGATGATCTCCTTCTAACCTCAACCGTTCTGTGACTGAGCAACAGACCCATTTTAAATGTAGTATCAGTGTTTTGGGATATGTATATTGTTTCATTGAGTATTGTGAAAGTTTAGGATTTTTTTTTTAGTTTTACAGTTCAGAACTGGAGATATACATAATTTAAAAAATTAAATGAAAAGAAAGTGTAGTTATTCTGCATTGTTTGGTGAATATGTGGCAAAAAGGGTTTTGAGAGTATCTGTTTGTATTTACATTCATGTTTTTTCTTTCATTTTATAAGAGCAGCTTAACATTTTTTATAATTTTTATATAATATAATTATTGTTTTTAAGTGATTGCTTCTTACTGAACAGGTGAACTAACTGAAGAGAGACATCATGTCTCGAGCACGGCAGCCCCCGCTTGTAACTGGCATCTCTCCCAACGAGGGCATCTCATGGACAAAAGTGACAATTAGAGGAGAAAACTTGGGAACTGGGCCTACAGACCTTATAGGTAAGTTGGAGAGAGGAGGGGGAAAAAAAAAGTGTGTGCTGCATTTGACATTTTAGAATGTTTTGCACTTGAATCTCTAAATTCAAGGATGCTCCCCAAAGCATAACAAATTAAAATGGCCATAATTTGTTAAATGGACTTATCTGACTCAACATCCTTTACCGAACACTAGCTAAGAACAAATGCCTATGTGAGCATATAAGAAGAGGGTAGATGTAGGGATGTGCTCCTTGATTACTTTTTCGGGCATTGAGAATTTGCAGCTTGGCAACTTTCCAGTCAGAAGTGTTTTCAGTGTATTGAGAAAGTCACTCAGCATTGCTGGTACACTAATTGAATTTTACACTAATTCAAGTATCTGCAGCAGTCTCGGACAAGGAGAGTAACAAAATTTAGCTACAGACTGTGTGAAGAACAGTCTCATCACTTTGTATTTTTAACTGGGTAGCTTAATTTGAATCATCATAGTTCTTGCATTGGAAGGGGGAACAAGCAGTTCTCCCCTATTTAGTCTCTAAAAGATTCTCATGGCCTTAGATCTTGATCACCACTGCTCTCAGTTGCCTCTTTTCCAGGCGGAAGAATCCTAGCTTACTTATTTTTTTCTGTGTATTCTGTGTGCATCTTTTAGGGTGTTTTTGTTGTTGTTCACTGAATTTCAGCTACTATTTTGTAGCACTATTTCAGCTACTATTTTGTAGTGCAAAACAGATCTTATGAGACTGAGTGCATGGAGTTTTTTCCAGCTTTACTATCTTAAGTAGCCTGAATAGATTAATAGCATCAAGCTTTGTAACCTCTTTGTTCACCCTCATTTCTAATCATTTATGAATGTATTGAATGGCAGAATTCCTAGCACGTGTCCTGTAGAAACGTTCCTGTGTGAAAACACACCATTTATTCTGTCTGTTTCCTATCTTCTAAACAGTTATTTATCTATTTGAGGATTGTATCCAATAGCTGCTGCTTAATTTTCTTAAGCCATTCAAGAAGGACTTTGCAAAACCTTTTGAAATCCAAGTTAACTGTAACAGCTGGAATTTCCCATATTCCTTTTCTAAGTTAAGCATATGTATATTCGTGTTAGAGACAATTTGTCTAATTTGTTGTGGAGTCATGTGTAGTCTCTCCCCTGGAGAGTCTACTGGAATTTTATTTGGCTTTGCTAGAAACAACATTTCACCTCATGACAGTAAACCAAGATTCCTGAATTCCATTCTTAGCCATCACAATGAACTTCATGGCCAAGGACAAGCTACTGTAACTTTTCACTTCATTTCAGTTTGCTGACTCTAGAAAGAGGAAATGATATTTTTCTCATCTGCCAGACAAGATTGCTGTAGACTAATGAACCTTTATTTAGAAATATTTGAAAATCTGATGATGTTACAGGTAAGTATATTTCTAAATACCTGAATATTTGATGTGCCTTAATATCTTCATTAGTTCATTGGTACGATCTTTCCAGAAGCGGTGAAGTAGGTTCTTGGAAGGAGGGCATCTCCTGAACTGTGTCTCAGTATTATAGCTGGATGACTACTAATATTTTTTTCTCATTATATATATTTTTCAGAGTAAAGCTTATACCTGTGGCTGCTAATAATCTAGTGTTTTGCAGTAAACATAAATAAATAAATACAAGTATAAATTCATAGCCATATTTTTTTTCCTGAGCTCACCAAGTTCTTGGCTTTTTCTAGTAAGTGTGTAAGGCCTCAGACATGCAAAGATTTCTTTTCATGGTTAAATTAGGCATGTAAATAGTCCCTGTGCCTTGAGTGGAAATACTTGAAAAAGTAACTCTTTGCAGGCATGAGACTTAAGCAAGTCTGAGCAAGGGTTTTGTGAAGTTTATGATCTGCTATTGAGATACATTAGAATAAAATGAAAAGCAAAAAACCATTTTTTTATATAAGTAGAATATCATATAGTAGAAGAATATGCCTTTTCATTTCATCTTGTTAAGAGAGAGCTTTCTTGTAACCCGTGTGCCTTTGAAACTAAATTAATTATTTTTATTTGTGACTATAGCTTGTGGTACAAAAAGGCAAATCCAGGAGATGCATGCAAAATCTGTTCTCCCGAGGTTTATTTCGTCTTTTAAGACATCTGCAGCTTTATTTTGTAGGCATTGTAAAATTGTCAGTATATAAGCTTGACAAAAATTATGAAGTTTCATGAGAATGTCTTGTGCCTACTTGTTGAACTAGGCAGGGGACTGAACCCTCCAAAATACCCTTTAAAAACTAGACCTCCGGTATGACATTTTCAAAGATCCTTATATGATACAACAGATGAAAATAAAGCTTTATTTAAAGGGAAGTTTTCTCATTTTGTGGGGGAAAAAATACTGTATTTGTAGTATCAGAGGATCTTCCCCAACATGCCTTTATTTGTTTCAAAAATTGGCCTATCCCATTACCATGGATAGCCTCCATGAACATCTTACATACCACACTTTCTTCTGCATTTTTTAAGATACAGACAAAGGTTGTTCCCTTCATTTAAGAAGTGTCAGATCTTGTTAACTTGTTTTTTTGAGAGCTTTAGGAACCTTCTAATAAATAGAAAATGATTGATACAAGGTTCTTTGAAATGGTTGTTCAATAACTTCTTCCCTACCAAATTGCTTAAGCTCAAATCTTAATTTTAAATGTGACTTGATTTAAGCTTGAAATCAGACTTCTTAAATTCTAGAGTGAAAATCTGGTTGATTTTTATGATGGTTCAGACAATCTCCTTCTTCAGTTAGTCTTGAAAATTTCTACTGCAATCTTTTTTTTCCTTCAGAGAACTTGGTGGCAGAAAACTGAAGAGACTTGATACTGAAGTCTAAGGTTAAGACCCATGCATCATAAATGCATATCCTTCCCTCACCCCCAGATAAAGAAAAACTCTTGTTCTGGTTAAAGTGTTGTAAAGAAACAACAACCAAAAAAAAAAGCCAACACAGATATTCTTGATTTAAAACTCTTTTTTTGGGGGGGTCCTGTCGTTTTCTTCAGGTGTCTTTTAAGAACCCTACCTACTATCCGTGCTCACATAAAATTCTCTTCAGTTATAGTAAGATTCAAGGCCTTTCTATTTTTTGGGGGGTGGGGAGAGGTTCATTTTCAAAATAGGTTTTGGCGGGGATTGAGGCATTCTAATGTCTGACAAAACCATGAAAACTGCCAAATTTGTCTGCTGTGTAATGTCAGAGACTTAAATTGTGAGGAAAAAGTAAGCGTGAAGCTCAGGTACTGAGCCACGTGTGCTGACCTTTTTCGGTCTCTTAAGTTTTTGTTAGGTTGGTCAGAGCTTTCTAGAAATTGAAAACAAAAGCCAAGCCGGTGGGGGAAGAACTATTGTGCCTGCCTAATTTATATTCCAGTTCAGCCAACACACTAGTATGGCCTTAGTTGTTTTTGGATAATATGCCTTATGTTTCTAGGTAAGGGTGAAAGCACCTAATTTTACCTAAATTAAGAACCTAATGAAGTTCTAGAAATCAAGTCTGCTAGGGACTATTCTCTATTAGTAATATGGAAATTAGAATCTTGCTAATTCTTTAGGACAGCAAAACTCAAATTAGGAGTGTGAGAACTACCCTTCTAGATCTGCCCATCTATTCCAGCATCCAGAGTCCTGATCTGACTACGGTTAGGTCCTGTAGAAAGATGTATGAAGACTCAGGAAGCCTCAGACCTCATGTTTAGGTGTACCTTGATTCTAAATGTAAGAAGGTGTTCTTAAGCATTAAAGCTTGACATAATTTAATATGCCATGGTCTTATTCTGCGAGGGAGCTTCGTGACCAAAATATACGTTTTATTTTTATATCATAGTATGTCACTTGTTCTTCTGTTGTGTGAAAGTTTAGCGGAAGAAACAGGAAACTATTCTTTCGTACAACAAGGGGGGTTTGTTGAGCAGAAGCAGTCGTTACATAACAATTTTGATACAGGAGAAGGGGGCAGAATATTTGTGAAGGAGTACTTTGGCCAGAAGTCTCTTCTGTTTCCCTAAAAGTATAATTAAACAAATAAGCTTGAAGAAACATTGTTTCTTGTGAATATCTTGCAGGCTTTCTTATTTTTTTGCTATGTAAAGTCACATGTGGTGAATTTATCAAAGATTCTGCTTGCAGTTTTGACGGAAGTTTCACGTAAGTACATCTTGCAGAGGACCTTGACTACAAAATGAAGTAAAAGTTGCACTAGCCCCATTACTGATGGGAGAGGTTACAATAAGCTTCAAGCAACGCTGCATGTGTCTCATGAAATGGCAATAGGGCATTAGAGCTGAAGTCACCTAGGGAATATCTGAAAAATGTATTTGTGACTCTCACTCCATCTTGGCTGTTAAGGACTGGAAAAGAGTCATATGTGAAGTGTATGAAGCACCATGAGCATATTTGCCTTACAGCACTTCAAAAATATTTTTATTCACAGTCATTCTTTTTTTCAGGTTTAACAATCTGTGGGCACAACTGTCTGCTAACTGCTGAATGGATGTCTGCCAGTAAAATTGTGTGTCGAGTGGGACAAGCTAAAAATGATAAGGGGGACATTATTGTCACTACAAAGTCTGGTGGCAAAGGAACTTCAACTGTTTCCTTCAAACTACTGAAACCTGAAAAAATAGGTATTGTTCAAACTCGTATCTATTTTTTGCTAAACAAGTATATGACTGAATGCTTCTTTAACTAAAATGTATATTTAAAAGCAATCCACCTGGGGACAGTCTTCAGTTGTCTAAAAAAGTAGAATATATCAATAAAATGTGTTAATATATACATATATAGATTCATGTGAATTAAATTCCTCTTTCTCAATATCCTGATAAACCCTCAATAAGTAATGAAAAGTAGCCCCTTTTATTGTTGGGCAAAAGCATTAAAATTTTAAAATTTTCAAAAAATTGATGACAGATCCAGGCATTATTCACCTTACTTCTAACTGTACTAGATAAATACAAAATATAAAAAAACTCATGAGCTTTATACCTAAATCCAGAGCTGACAGTTAATCTTTTAAAGCAAGCTGAGTCATGAGTGCCATTTCTTACTTGTAATTCAAACCATCCTGCCAGACAAAGTCTGAAGTATTTTTCATGTGGTGCTTAATCATTAAAATGATGTTGCCAAGCAGTCTAGGACCTCTGCTTAATCTAGAATCCAGTCTAAATACTCTCTGGATTTAAAATGCCTCTCTCAATAAGTCATTGATACAGTTGGATAGGCATCTTTTTTTAACGTAAGGCTTCCCACAAAAGGAACTGTTTTAGGCTTTTGTTCTCTCTCTGCCGTTCAGTGACAGTTAAATAATGCATAATTTCTCCCAAGCTATAAAATTGGGGATGTTAAAGTATCTGGTCATGATTTCTTCTGGGGGCCCAAGAACCATTGTGCCTTACCTTTCCATGTTGTCTGTGCTAAGGCTTTGGAAACAAAGCCGGTCCTATCATCACGGAGATCTTGAAGGCATCATGCTTTTGGCATGTGGCCAAAGTTGACTGACTTTGTGCTTAGTAAGTGCTATAGAGAAAGGAATCTTTTTTTAAAGTCTGCCGAGAGGGAGACCTCCAAGTAACTGGTGATTTTGAAAGTAATGGATGACTAAGTGATGGACAGATATCAAAGTACTTGGGAGAATGAAAAATACTGTTATACTGTGATCATAAGCAAGAGGAATATGCTCTTAATTTACATGGAATGATGCACTCTTTAAGAGGCAGTGTTTGATGCCCAGGCATTAATACATTTTCAGCAGCTAGAATGAAATAATTTAATATAATGGTATCCAGGTTGTTTTGCCATATATCTTTCAAAATATTACCTAGGCATGCATTTTATTTTTATCAGGATTTTTCAAATTAATTCAGTATGTTAGAAGTTGATAGTGCTGGACAGCCCTTGTTGTTTTAAGGATATGTCCTTTATTTTCTCTAGGTATCTTGGATCAGTCTGCTGTCTGGGTGGATGAAATGAACTATTATGACATGCGCACTGATAGGAACAAAGGGATTCCCCCCTTGTCTCTACGTCCAGCTAATCCACTTGGTATTGAGATAGACAAGTGAGTACCAAATGCCTTTAATCCACTTTTTTAGTGGTTTTCTCAATATATGCCTCTGTGAATTCCAGGAAAGTTTAACAGTTTATAGGGCAGGGAAAGAGTTGAAAATAAATACATATATTAGCGGATGGTATAATGTTTGGTGCTTAAAAGAGTTGTTGGTGCACGCTCTGTCCTGCTTTCCTAATCCTTATTTTTGGAGCCTCAATTAGGACTGTAGATAATCTAAAAGCCTGATATATTGAACTCCTGTGATGTTTAGATTTTGAGGACTGATAAATAACCTAAGGCTTTGATTTGATACATTGTAGCTATGGAATACTTAGTGTTGCATTTGAGTTTCGTGGAGCTTTTAAGGTTGTTTAGATAGCTATCTGTTGCTAAAATTGCACTGTAAAATATGATTTATTATAGACAGCAACTAGTTTATTTATTGAAATATAAATACTGCTTTCCAACCCACAGAATCCTTTATTTTTGTTCGTAAATAGGTAGACTTTGTAACATTTTTTTCTGAAATAGGAACTTTCTAATTCTGTTAATTGCTTATTACAAGGCTTTAGAGGAGATATTTTTAGGGCTCCAGACCTCACCAACTCCTAGAAATAGTGTCAGAGACAATGTTTCTCTTGACTGAGATATTAGCTCGGTCAGAAACAAAGGCTGTTTAAAATTAGAATGTTTCACTAGCGGTCTCGTCGTCTGAATACTCTGTGAACAAGAGTACATGCATAATTTCATCGGCTTTTTGGAATAGTGGAGGCTGTGAATGATTTCAGTATTATTCCTTTTTCACAAGGATGGGGTAATGTGGTTGTGCACTTCTATAGTAAGAAGCTTCTTGGTCTAGTTGTTGATGTTGCAAGTTGGCCTTAAGGCCAACTGTTAATTATTTTTTGGGATTTAATTTAAATATTATCTCTTACTGCTTAGCACAATAGACAAAATCTTCTGTTAAATCATTTTTTTCTGAGCTTAATTATCTCCAGTTTTCTATGATTTCCTGAATTATCAGCCTTTTGAAACCCTGGCAATTAACAGCTTGGAGTCTTCATATTTTGTCAGAAGGATTCAGACTTCAAGAAATTCTTAAAAATATGAAGTCCTTACTTTCCATTCATCTGTTTGTTTGTATCCAGTGGCAAGAGTCATGTGAAAAGATTCATTGAAGTGAAGGCCAGAATGAGTCACTGGAATATTTGATCTAAAGTCTGGTCGGCTCAGACTGTTAACTAGATTTAAAAAATAATTATTATTTCTGCATTTAGTACAATGATTTGTGATTGTTTTTAGTATATATTTTCCCAGAAGGTATCCAGTCTTGATTTGAGGAAGTCATGTTGTAGAAAATCCAGTGTCCGTTGTTAGCTCGTTCTGATGGGTAAATGCACATTTTCCAAAATCTATGTGATTTGCAGTGGATCTGGCGTCAATTTCCAGCTTCTAGTTATGCGCTTTTTTTTTTAATAAGCTGAGATTTTTGACTGATCTGTATCTGTTCTTGTAAGTATTTTTCTCTAGCCCTTGAAATAACTTCTGATACTCTTCCATCGTCTCCAGTTTTCCAGCCTTGTAAAAATGTGGACTCTAGAACTGTGGATGATATCCCAGAGTCATACCAGAAGGCTTCCTGTCTCTGCTCTTCTCCCTGCCCAGTCTGTACATTCAAAAAAGATGGTAATCCTTATTACCCCAGCATTGCACAGGGAGCTAGCAATGAGTCACTTATTCATCGGTTGCTACTTTTGCTTCTGACATGGTCACCTATTACTCTGCAGGGATGACCTGGATTGCTTTATCCTAGCTGTGTCATTTTGCATTTGACAGTGTTCAGCTAGTTATTGCTTCCTTGAAAAGTTGGTCTTCTCAGTCCAGATGAAAGAATCTTTTACTTAATATTTTCTCCAACTCTTTATTAAAATTATTAGTGATAAAACTAGTAGATGATTCAATTACTGATGAAACAGTATTGTGGGCTTTAGTAAAACCCTACCTAAAGATAATCTCCGCTGAAGAGAATTCCCCACTGTGTTGTATGCGTGTGTTTTTTTGGTTTTGTTTTTTGATTTTTTTGTTGTTGTTTTTGCAGTTAGTCTTGTGATACATACTATTGGCACTGCATAGCACTAAGTTTTTGATCAGTCTTGCGTACCAAGTTTCCATTAAAATGACAAAATATTAAATGTGTTGGGTTACCTTTTTCAATGAAGCACTTAATCTCAAAACCCATATAATATGTTTTCAAATATTTTATGAAACTGTTAAAACTGACATTAAAACTATTTTTCTCTAATTTTGTATGAATTGAACCCTGTAAAAGCTTTTCCATTATTTTCTTTGGAATTTAAGTCAGAATAACCACTGCAATTACATCGGACATCTGTGTATTTCTCACAAGGCTTCATTCAGTAAGTGTGTTAGCTATGACACAGGTACTTTTAAATTGGTCTTATTTTAAGAGAACTTTTAATACAGGATCTCAACTTCATAACCAAAACTGATAGTTCTTACAGTCAAGGCAGCTTGAATTTGATAGATTAAGAATTACCTTTTGGAAGCCTAAACAGTAGGATTAGTTTAATTTGATGACATCTGTTTGAATGTTTTGTTAAATAGGAAACCAATAAGGTTACATTTTTAAATTTATTTTAATGTATTTGTGTTTTTAAAGTATTTTTATCTTGAAGCATAAGTAAGTAGCATGTTAATAAACTCAGATTTTGTGTGAAAAAGAAATACAAAGGAAGTTAAAAGTATGTAAATACAGTTAGGAAAGAAGAACCCTTTTGTGAAGGGAAAAATAGGGAAATATTTGAGGAATTGTCTTTCAAGCCTAGGTGTTTTGTACACCTGTAAACACACAGGTTTGCAAATACTTGAAGTATGGCGTGGATGAATAAGGAAAAAAATTGTATATGGGAGTGAAGAAAAATGGCAATTGTAAATTAAGAAAGCGAGCATGTAAGCAAACATTAACCAATACTAGGTACTGGAATGATTTCCCACTAGAAGTGATTAAAAAATGCTGGAATTCTGGGATGTTTTAAATTTAAAAGAAAGCCTAGTGCAATAAAGAACAGTCACATGTTACAAGGTGGGTGGACTCTGTAGCATAATTGATCTTTTAACACCTTTGACTTGTTTAAACAGTTTTTAAATGTACAAATTGGGACGTATTTGAATGCCAAAGCTGAAGAAATAGGCCATAAGCTTGTTGGGATTTCGAACCTTTGCTGGGTGCCTTGCAGCAGCCTGGTGGCAGATGAGGAAAGGAATGTTGTGCATTGAGCACGCTGACAGTGGTAAGCAAAAGAAGCATTTAAAGAGGGATGATGTGGAGAGGACCAGGGAGAAAATCGGAGAGGAAAACAGATTTGAGAAAATAGGAGTCAGGATAGAAAAAAGCTAAAGGGGAGCACACTGTGAAGAAAACAGGAAATGGGTAGACTAGGGACAGAAGGAGAGAGGAAAGGTCATCCTTCTAGAAAGTGGTTGTCAGGCATCAACAACTGATACAGAAAGACGGTCTGGAACATGGGAAGGAGTTAGATCGCCTATCCCTTGTGATATTTTTTCTTTTTAATATAGGTTATGCTTAGTTCTAAAAAGTTGCATTTGTGGATTTTAAAGATATTGTTTAGGATACTTTGTCCAATTAAAACACATTTTAAAATGGGATATTTAAACACTTAAAAAAAACTTTCCATAATGAATAGAAATATTTTAGTACAATATTTCATTAAACTATTTATACACATAGAGACTAAATTTTTGTTTATTCTGACTCAGTAGACGTAAAATGGGAGTTTGTAAGATTGGGAATGGCCTGATTTAAGTGAGTAAAGCCCTTGAACTGTGAAGTAAGGTAAATAAAATAGAAAGATAAATAAGGTAAAATAAAATAAAAAAGGTAAATAAGGTAACTAGTGGTAGGTCTGATGCATTCTAATAATTCTAATGATTCTGATGCATTCTAATAATAATTAGAATACCGCATGTAGTTTGACTTTATATATATACTTAATATATATACTCAAAATGTGCATTTAGAAACTGGAATTTTCTTTTCATATTTAGATGTTACAAGGATGTAAAAGTAAGAACTATGGATATTCACTGTTCTTCACGATTGCTTTTTGTGAGTCAAGACTAGTTAAGTGTTACAGGTATACGTGCAAGCCATCGTCTTTCAGCCTGGAAGTTTAACAAGTAATACTTATTGGTAACTTCTGGCTGATAAATGCTTCATATTTTCCGAGACTTAATTGCTGTTCTTGTATCACTCAACTTTTTTATAGTAGAGTCCCAATTGCGAAAAAAATAAAATCAATCATCATTCTATAATGAAACTAGAATATGTTGGCTAAGAATCACTGTTGAAGCATAGTGAAGTCACAAATCTATTCATAGACAAATGTTTATATGTGCTATTTTTCTGTCTTGCTGGTAGTTGTGTTTTCATAGTTTGAAAGGGAACTGCTTCCAATTAGATGAGACTTGTTACATTGTTAAAACCTAGCTCGTCTTGTGTGTGAGCAACAAAATGTTTCCTTCGCACAGGAACTCAGGCATTAGAAATACATAATCTTTCTGAATTCTTGTTTATTAATTTCCAGGAAAGAATAGAGATCGAGACAGGTGTTTAGTTTTCTATTGCCATCTTCATAAAGGCTTTAAGTGCAAAGCAGGTCCAGTGTCCCTTCCCCACTGGGGAGGAGGGAGGAGAAGGACTATTCCTGGCTGTGGTATTACGGAGCTGTAGGCAGAAACCATTACAAGAGGCTTATATAGCTTTTAGGAGGAAAAGGATGTCCAAATGGTCACCAAATAGAAGTGTGGAAAGTTGATATGAAAATGCTAACAGTAATGTTATAGTACTTCTGTTTATTTTCACATTTTAGAATTGTTACAAGAACAGGTTGGTAAGTGAGGTAGTAACCAGAATTTTGAACAGTTCAAGGAGAGGAAACTGTTATTCTTGTTTCATGAGAGCACTGGAC